ACTGTGATTATGGTTAAAATAAATGAAAGCGATGGCATTCTGGATAATTCTGGATAACCTCAGTAATTGGGGTTCTTACCCTAACCAAAGTACAAACATATCAACATAAACTATCTGTAATTAATATACGTTTAATTTTGTACATATAGAGTTTGTATATTTTAGCCTTAATATACATACATATATTATATATGCTGATATTTGTACATACAAATACTATATATGATCGCTGCGTTCCTCGACATTTTTTTTATTGATCTATATTCCTTTTAGAACGTATTTACCGAAGGTATAGTGGAGCTGTTGATGAATACCAAATTATTGTCTTCTAATTTGATTCTGAAATATGTTAACAACATGCGGACCAACCAGAAAAACAAAATTGCATGGAATGTAAGTATTTTTCCAATATATTTTAAATAAACTAATATGCACATTATCTCCGATTAATTAAGGTTATCTCATGTTCGTAATTTGTTCGACAACATATTTACATTTGGCAGTTCGATTGTTAAGAAATATATAAATTCATTCCGTTACGTGTACTTGGCAAAAATAATTTAAAAACCTTGACATATATTTTCCGTCCGTGATTATTTTTGTACTGAATTCACTGTTCGAATTATACTACGTACGAATAAACAATTAGTATGATCAAGTTAAATAAATAATTAAATGGAATATCTTCCATAAATACGATTGACGTTTTCTACATAAAGTTACTTAATCTACAGTAAGTCTTTTAATATGAAATAAAGACAAGACGTAATATACAATGATTTGATTGAATGACTTGATTACAGGTTAAAGTCAGATTACTCCTATTCAGACGTTCGTGAAGAAAACGTTACCAAAACCGAAGATCATTCAAGTCAGGAAATTAAATTCATTAGTTCAAGAAAAGATCGTCTGAAGCAACTGTATCAGCGTGACGCGGCCGAGCTAGAAATATTGCTTCGCGCCTGGGGTTACGCTTTCATTCCCACACAACCTTGACCTTTCTTCGCTGCATACTCTTTGTCTATTCGGGCGACCTTGACTACAATGAGCCAATACTGAACACAACACTTCCACCGCTTTCGAATTAAACAGGCATCGTCAGCACTTCTTCCACTTAAACTAACCTTTTATCTGGTGAGGACGAGTTATCTCGTCACTCATCTTTGTTAGCACGATATAATAAACATTTTTCTACAGTCAACATAAATACAATATATGGTTTGCAGGAATATGAATAGAGTAAATTCTCCCTAATTGGCCATCAGCTTGTTCGCAAAAATGAACAATTTGGGAAGAGGAGATGCGAATATTCGAGTCTCGCGGCTCGTTTTTATAGTCGCCGATTGTTAACAACTATAAAAACGAGCCGCGAAGCTCGAAAATTCGCATCTTCTCTTCCCAAATTGTCCATTTTGTCTACAAGCTGAAGGATAATTGCAGAAAATTTACTGTACTATGGTACAATGAAGTAAAAGAATTGTTCATTGAATCGTATGTGTAGAAACATGCACAAGCATAAATTATATTGTATTCATGTTGATTGTTGCAGGATCATTGTTCATGTTTCTAGTCGGGAAGCCACTCGGTTGAAAGGTTAATAAGTATAAACTTTAAGAAGGGCATACAAAAATATTTGAGATTATTTGTTTTTGATTGCAAAAATGAAAGAAACGCGCGGGGTTTCGACAGAAGGTTTGGAAACGTTAACGAAGTCATTAATGAAATTTACTCTTTCAAACTGAAACAAGAAATAGATTAAACCAAGATATAATGAAAAGCTATGTATAAAACAAAATGAAAAATGGTTAGAGACTGATTTAATTCGCACCGTTTTTTTTTTGCTCACACGCTGACGCTTGTTTCTTAATTATTTTCTATTGCAAATTTGATTACACATTGTCGAAATGCACATAGAGAAAGTGCGAAACTTTTGACAGATGTTCTTGTTAATAGTCCATGATCTAAGAATCACATACACGTTAATGGACACCGCATCTCGGCAAATTAGTTTCAAGGTCTCGCGTAGAGCTGGAACTGTGTGCCCTTTCATTTATCTTGAGATCGAGATTATCAAGTTAGCAGATTCCTCTTTCCGAGTATAGGAACCAGTAACGTAGTATTCGATCAGTATACGTTACAATACCGACGTAACAATCTCCAAACGCTAATTTGTCGTTGGAGACCTACAAACGGTGATATCGTCCGCGCAAGCATCTTCTTTTAACCCTTTGCAGTCGAAGCTACTTGAATTCGAAATCCAAAACATAATTTCTGATCTACAGTATTTCTATTTTATATAATTTATCGCGACTCATGCGTATGAAATTGGGCCTATTGACAAGTACAATGCAATTTTAATAGTCTTTTTTAAAGTATAAACGAGTTTGATGCTCTTCGAATGATTTTGAAAAATAGCATATCAATTTTTAGTGGCGCCTCAGAGTCGCCATTCGAGTGCAAAGGGTTAAGGGCCGAACATTGGAACCCCGGGGACCCAAGAACGAGAGTTGCTCAAATTTGGTCAGCAGAATTCTATCGTTTCAAGAGTCTCCCATTCGGAGGAATTTTCTGATCCTGGCAATCAGGTTCCCGTCTTGAAACATACAAATCGCTGTATAGCGATTGTATAACATGTTGGCGCTACATTCTTCTCTCAGAGTTGTGGAAAACTACGGACAAGCTCGACTCACTTCGCGAGATCACGCGATCTCAATCGCTGTCGTTTCGGTAATTTAGCGTATTTCTCTGTCTCTTCGCTTGCTCCTTCGTTCGCACGTTCGCGCTGCGTCTGTGCCAGTCGTCTCGGGATCTTCGTCACGTCGAATAGTCGGTCATCAAGTCCTCTCGTATGCGAATAAACGTCGATCGCGATTAGTCTAATCAGGAAAAGTGGCCACGCAAGTAGAAGGGTGGCGATGTATGCGCAAGGAGTCCTCTGGAGCGGCGTGTCGCGTCTACCGAGTGAACATTATAACACTAAACTACGTTCAAATTGAGTCTTTACGTCGCGACACGATCATAGTTCAGAATTATAATGTTCACGCGGTAGACGCGACACGCCGCTGCACGGGAGCCCCGTGCATACGTCGCCTGCCCCAGCCCCCCATCTTGCGTAGTGACTTTTCGCGTATACGCTGGTCATTATTAGGAGGTTTTTCATCCTAACAGTATCGATTAGGTACGTAAATAAGAACTTTTAGTATTAAAAGATTGATCTGTTCACGTCGTAAGTTTCACAGTGCAGCAAAAAGTACGTAATATGTACTATAAAAACATGATCGATTAAGTACTACCTATTCTTTCTATAATACTCGTCGGTGAATTGAATTATATCATATAGGATATTTTTGAAAGTATAACCATAATTTTGAAAAGAAAATGCCTGTCACAAATAACGAGGATTTGCATACAGGAATGTTTCATTTTATATTCGCAAATGAGTGTTAGTTCGATTTATAGTCAATGATATGTAAACATTAACATGAATGTGATTCTTACTATTATTAACAAAAACGTTTATCAAGAACGTCTACTTTCTGCACGTGCATTTTGACAATTTGTAATCAAATATGCAACCGAAAATGGTTAAGAAACACGTGTCAGCGTGTGCATATTTTTCTTCCTTAGCACGTTCTGCGCCACGTGGACCACCGATGGTACATGCTTGCATGTTTATTTAATCTGTTAAGAAAATAATTCATAACAGATTTATAACTGAAGAATTAATTTTCACCACAAGAATGGGTCGTGATAAGATTGTTTCATTGTTATATGTATGATAATTAATAATTACATATAATATATGAAGTTTCAGTAAAATGTCGAATAACCAGTGCAAAGAGTTGAGTAAAAACAGCTCGGCACGGAACGTGTTAAGAAAGCATATTATATGAAACGTTCTATGAGCGCCGATTAGTCAAAGGTAGAGAACATCACCCAAGGAACAATTTCTTGTGAACGTATATTTATTTTTGAACATGCGACATACAATTCCACTTTTTTTTGTTCGGTTGTCCAGCTGAACAAATGTAGCGTAACGTTTGTGTCACTATGATATCATGTAGAAGATGCGCAAGGGTTGATATATTTGCTGTTAAATGATTCCTCATCAATCAAGAGCTATGAATATCTCTGATCCAAGGAGCTCCATCTGCCTCTCATTTTCATATAGCATTTTCCGGTCGGTTGGCGAGGTAAGCCTTGATGTTAGGCAATGCCCTCACTTTCTCCACCAACTTTTTCAGTTCAGGATGGTCCTTGTCCAAGTCTGTGTCCGTGGCAGTAGATATAAGTTCACTTTGCGCGGCCCAGAACAAGTCTGCCCAGGTTAACTGAAACGATGGCATTAAAATGATGATTAAATCATTTCAGACATAAGAGGATACATGAGTGAAGCAATGAATCCATTTAGGTGTATGAATCTCGATTATTGCGATGTGAACAAGGCCAGCAGAGGGTTCTGAATGGCTGTCAACATTGAATTATAGCCGGAAACTTCGTTCTGATTATATTAAATGCAATTTTGTTATTGACCTTTTTATTATATCAGATAAGATATAATATATAATACATAATATAATCAACTATAAATTACTAAATTTTAAAATATTATGATCAGTTTTTTCGAAGGAAGTCAGCTGGAATCATAATTATGTAGTTGAGAAGTGGACAAATATTGCTGGGAACTTACACACGACTATTTAGGGTGATGTGATTACCATACTAACATTAAGTAATTATCGAAATCGAAAGTGGCCACCTTAGCGTGAATAATTATCATTAATATTGTACACTATAAAAATTCGAATTACTTTACTTAAAAAACACAAATTCAGATTTTATTATTGATCGTTCTACACCGATAATATAAAATTCTATTTTCAGAAGCTACATACTATGACGATTGCGAGGCATTAATATTAGTGTATACGCTACACCCTTCAAAAATAAAAATTTCTATATTTAAGAATAATTACCTTTCCACCAACAAAGTATCCACCGTTTTTCTTAACCTGTTCGTTGAGTTTGTCAAGATACACAGGAAGCTTCTGGAAAGCAGTTTCTTTGAGCTTCGCTTTGAAAGCCGGATCTTGTTCCCAGTAGTATGTCGTGCATGCTATGAAAGGGACACTAACGTAAATACTACATAATACAATCTCTAGTAATATAATAAAACTACATCTACTATAAAAAGCTTAACATTTTCTATTAATAATCATTTCAAGGCAAGTTAATCGACTCTGTTGATCAAGATAGATCGTTGTTATCTAGAAATAACATGGTTATCAATATCAATCCATTTATTAAAAAATTCTCAATTCTTAATCTTTGAGTTTTAAGGATCCATTGGACAACTGCTGATAAGTAAAGTGTTCATACATGGTTCGCAACTGTGGAATAATACCTATACATAGATATAGATAGATATAGATAGTACCTATCTGTACGTAGATAGTTCAAAATAATTACATTGACAATATATTTCAAAGTCATATGAATCAATGAAGTGGCAATTATTCTAAGTAATTACTAATTTCTAAAATGCAAGAAGAACAAGATTACTATTGATAAATAGCGATGATATATTTTGTTGTTATTATAAGAAATATTTCAGTCGGAAAGATCCGCTGCGTTATTGTTAAAAGACTGTGGACATTTATGCATTTGTAACTTATAAAAGAATCTAAAAAAGGACATAAAAAACGGTGTACAGAATGGTATTAAAAAGTTGCTCTAGCTACAATAATGAAAATTTGTAGAAACATTTGCAGGCTGATAATTTATTCTTTTGGCTAATTTACTACCTTTTCCTCAAAGGAAGGATTAAATAAATTATCGATTACAAAGGTTCATGACAAGTGTAACGAAGAAAATCAGAGCAATAAATGTGATAAAAGTATTTGTTAGGTACAGTATACCAAGATAAGACAAACATGTCTTTAAGACGTTTCACATTTTCATACGTCCTAAATGCGCTCTACATTCTACAAATCTACCAAACATTTAAGAGAGTCTCGTTCGTAGAGATAACAATCCCACCCGTATAAGAAGCACCATTTTCATTCAGTTTTTCTTCATCCCTGTGAATCCATATCTGTAGCTAACAATTTTGAAATACGCTCTAAAAATATGAACATACACTGAACATAGCGGCCTCTAACAACCATGAATGGACAAACACATCGATAATCTCTTCGAACGTGCCTTTCATATAATTGCAATCGAACTTCACTTACATATATAAATTCGTTTGATCGTTAATATCTATCTATATATATATAAAATTTAAGATACATCGAAAAATTCGATCTTCTCTTTTTTAAATTAGCATCTGCATTTTAAAAAAAACGATGCTTTCACGTTGTACGTCAGCGGGACGTCTTTAGGACGTGTTAAGGGCGTAAATTTCAGACGTCGAAACAACGTCCAGTTCGAAACATCATTAAAACGTTTTGCAGATGATCAGTGCTATCTAGGTAACGATATAAATCATAAGTGACAACACGTACCTTGTCTCAAATCATCGATTGTGTCGACAGTGGCGTCGATCTCGTAAGCTTCAAAATCATCAGTACCATAGAGATTGTTTTGTTTGGCGATGAAACGGGAAATTGCCTTTGACTGGTACAAGACCTTGTCGTCGATTTCCAAAACGGGTAGCTGACCCATTGGCATCTCTGCAAAGTTTTGTCATAATTAATTTCTCTCTTTGGTTGTTTTTGTTAGTGGAAGGATCGCAGCATTTTTACAGCTTCTTTGTACTCTCTATGCTTCTCTATTCGATTTACGTATATACCATGTACATTATATTTATACACTTACGAGCTTTCACTTTTGGCCATTCTTCGGTGTAATTAAGCCTGTTGTCTTCGAACTGAATACCGCTTTGGTGCAACAAAAATCTGATTACCTCCGCAAGGCCAGTGTACTTGAAGTATGTCAACTTGTAGGAAGGCATTGTCTATATTTAAATATAATACAATTAAAATCTCTATTTGTTTTATTATTTGTATAATTAGACAAGCAATTAGAGTTAAATTAAGGTTATGAAAAAAATTGTATCATTGCTCTACTGAGTTCTGAATTTTACAAATTGATTCCCTAATTCCCAAAAATTACTTTTCATCTTCATTTTATAACTTCTTTATCATTCTTTACAATACGACTTTAAATTAATTTTTTAAGATTAATATCTTCTAGATGCTTTTTTTGGTGGATTAATTTTTTTGGAGTTTTTTGGTGGGTCAATTTCTTGTAAATTTTGTGTGGCAACTAGAGTTCAAATCGAATTCAACTACTTGGTGTTTTTATTTTCTAAATGGGTATATTTTCTAAATGTTATTTATATTCTCTAAACATTGATGATACTATTATTTAAAAACACACATAAATGATATAATTACAGTTGTTTCTACATTTAATATTAACTTCGGATGAATTTTGTTTACTTCAATGTTTACATTTTTTAAAAGAGATTAGAACATTTTTCGAAAATTTCTGAGAGAACGATTCTAAAATAAAGCAGTTGAATAAATAGAATATAAATATTGTTTTAAAGAAATGTTTTAGTTTAAAGCTATACGTATATGTATTATATACAATGTTGAGAGTCTGACATATGTAGATGTTTCTGGTTCCACATTTTAAAAACTTGAAAAATAGCATGTGATTTAAATTAAATTAGACCCACCATTTGTATTTCACTTTCGATGGTTCTAAAAATGAATTTTCCAATTTTTTTTGAATTCTACAGATCCCGAATCGTTTCAGAAACAAGACATTAACTCCTAGATACGTTTATTTGACAGTCATGCCGCCGGATACATCACTGTTTTTTTTTTCATTTGTTCACCTAGTTCTTCTTAGTTCCGTTCTTTGTCTCATACAATAAATACCGGTTGAAAATTTGCTACAACTTTTTTATTCGCAACAAATTACATAATTACGAATATACGTAATCACTAAATACGGGGGTTTATATTTTTATAAGAAAATTTAAGAAAGGCACTAGCCAGGAATGAAATGAATATCACAATACATGAATACATGAATATATGAATGTCAAAATGCTTTTCTACTCGTTCAATTTATTAGTAGAAAAATGAATTTCAGTAAACTTTTTTTACTAAACAAACAGTACAATTTGATAACAGAATAGTTTGTTCCAATTAGAACTATTGCCGATAACAATGCTTTTAATAATGTGAATATATACACTTACGTTAATTCAATGTAACGCTGTGATGGCTAACTTGATTCAACGACTTCTCGCGTGTTACTGCTTCTATGTACACCAGTCGGCCGCTATAAATTATATCCTGAGCCGCACTCAATCCCCTCCACTTCAATTTCAACATAACACGGCGAACAATAAACTCAATCTACTTCTACATACATATAATGACATGCATTTATTGTGTGATTAGATTAATTTTCGGTTATTCGAGAACTTTTGACAATGGCAATATCATTCGTATCATATAATGCACTAGAAATGTCATTTCAATTGAAACAGAATTAAATTGTGTTCTCTAACATTTGAATCCCTCCGATGATGAAATTAATAATCAATACTTATTTTATCGGACAAGAACGGTAAAATATGAGCACACATTATACAAGATTATTTAAGATATATTATTGTAAAATAGAATCGATATTAAAATATTCAAATAATCGATACGGTCAAAATGTACGTGCATGTTTGGAGGTATTACAGGGACTAGTTCAAAAAAGATAGAAAAACTTACATTTGTCAACTTTTTTATGCGGGCATATAAAGAAAATTTAAACAATGCGTTTTAGGCCTCTGTAACTTATATGCATGCTGAAACTTTATCGTTTTTATTTCCTTTAAGTAAAATAAATATTTGCTTCAGATCTTAATATATCTTCTCGGAGACTGAAGAAGCGTCGGTTGGGCTACAAGATATTGAATTTAATGGCAAACATTGTATAGGGCAACATAAAAACAACGACTTTTCAACTAACAAATTACGGTAGGATGGCAACTAATTATTATAAACTATTTGCATTATAACATGTTTATTTCTAACTGAATTTATAATACCTTTCTGCATCCTTTAAACAGTAACACTCTTAACAAAACTAAAATGATTAATTGTTTTTCCAAATATTATAAAATTACGTTTCATACTTTATTTTTAGTGTACTTTTACGTAATTCTGCAAAATAAAACAACGATCGTGCAGACTACAATAATATACTAACCAAGTATATAATCATACATACAGTATATTTCACACAGTATAGGATTTAGTGCAGCGTATATATGAGGTGTGTGGGTAGATCTTATTGGAAACAGTACGTTACGAAATAATGTCATTACATTATGAAATTCAAAAAGAACATTTCTTCAAATATATTGTGCAATTATAGCAATAGATTGTTATCACTACTGTAGAAAGCGGTTTACTCGATAGAAATACTATCTGCCAATGGCTAATCTGAATCATGTTTACCAATTCGATAAGTAATACCATAAAAGTGTACAATCATTCGTCCACAAACTGACTCACCGTAATCGTGCAATGTTACTGTTGCAGCTATCTAAGCAAATATGATCAGCTAGATATAGCAGCACGAGCTACGTCACTTAATTTATTCCAATTACTGCTGTCATATCCCCCACTATCGTAACGTGTACAGTACCAATCATCTCTACATAGCGGTAGATATTACATGATTTTATGCAACACATTTTCTGATAGGATTATCTGTCCCAATCGCTCCCATCGTGCCATCAAGTGTCGATACAATACTATTAATGTATCTACAGTGGCCTGCAAAAGTGTTCGTACAACTTTTAAAAAGCAATAACTTTTTTAAAACTGGACTAAGTGACTTGAATTTGTTTTAGATGATAACGGGACCTGTCTACTAGACACGATAATTGAAATGATTTTTTTTTAACTCTCGTTTTTAACTTTTTTATCTGAGCCTAAAACGAAAATTTAAAAAATGCCTCTCATAGATCTCGGTAACTTATATGTGTGCTGAAAATTGTATCGAAATCAGTTGATGTTGTTATGAGTTATCGAGATCTACGATAGGCATTTTTTTAATTTTTGTTATAGCCTCAGATAAAAAAGTTAAAAAACGGGAGTTTCTTATTTTTCTCTGTAATCTCAAATAATAGCAAAGTTTAACAAAGGCATTTTAGTCATTATATAACCAGTCTCTCTATCATCTACAAAAAGTTCAAATCATTTAGTTGAGTTTTAAAAAAGTTATTTCGTTTTAGATGTACGAACACTTTTGTGGGCCACTATACCTTTCGATCGATCGATTATGAATGATAATTCCGTAAATGTTAAACAAAGGATGGAACTGATTTCTTAATACTAGTAAATAATATATTTAATCTAAAAAAAATGCTTTAGCTTTCAATATCATAAATCATTTTATTTCATTGTGTAATAGATTCAAATAAAGGATATTATAAACTACTACTAGACAAATTGTCTAACTTTGTGCTCGTGTAACTTCGTGTAAAAAATCTTACAATATTTTATCAGTACGCATTTATAAAAATCTCTAATTCCACTCCCTGTACGTACAAGATATTTTAAAATTTGTTTACCTGAAAATACCTGCACGTAAATGACCAATAATATTTCCGTGTTCTTTCAACATTTTCGTCACCACGTCACCTACATCTCGGTGACGATTATAAGTGGGTAGCGCTCTTATTCGACTAATTAAATAGGACTTTACAGGTAATTTATAAAATTTTCATTTGTAATACAAATATTTAATGGAAATAGTATATGCAAATATAAAATATACAAAAAAATAAAAATATATAGAATAAAATGAAATAAAAAAATTAAGATATACAGACAGTATAATAGTATAATAAAGCATGTTATAATATATAAATACTGCAGTATAAAAATATACATATACTGAAATAAAATATAATATTAGATTACGCAACATGATATTTGTAAAGAACAGTTTGAACACATTTGAGATGATTAGACATGATAGACATGACTTGCAGATTTTGACTAGTAAAATGTGAGTCAGCTTTCTTGTTTTCTTCTTTTTAACCACGAGTTCCTGGCATTTTCTTATTTCCATTTTTGCTAAATGCGCTGAGTCTTTGATCTTTACATCGATTCGTTTCCATGACTAGGAGACTTTGCAAAGTACGGCAGCTTGCCGATACTCTGTTGTTGCCGCATTTCGGCTAATATAATGAGTGAGCGCTAGTTTTCTACAATTCATCACTTATAATTCATGAACTTCCGCCCAACCGATAGCATCTTATCGCTATTTCAACTAATCGCTCTGTTTACGCTTTTACACTCCGACCAGCGATCCATATTAGGCGACGAAAGTGTTAATTATATGGAGTACAGAATACAGAATTTATTTTGATAAGCTGTAGGAGACTTACAAAATTTTGTCTTTTGACACCGTCTCTTGCACATTAATATCTTTTAACGTAACCCCTTTCTTTTATTTTACAATAGTATCAAAGTGAGAAAAGATAAAAACACAAATACAGTATCATATAACTAATTATAGTACAATCTTTTTTCTTTTCTCTGTATCCTATTTCAGATTCAACTATAAACTTAACAACATTTTCACATTATCAATTCGAATTCTTTTTTTCTCATTACTTATATAAACTTAAGTTAATAATAAATTCATATAAACTTAATTTTATACAAAATCCGAAGTAAATTCAGTTGTCATATTATCAACGATTGTTACCACAATATCATAGGTAGATGATATTGCAGGTAGCAAATGACATATATTTGATCATCTCCAGCAACTTTTCCACCAGATCCAGACTCAGGATTTCTCATAAGCGAATCAAATTTTGCAAAATGTTCTTGGAGTTTCTCATTTTCTTTTAATTTTAGCGATAACAACTTTTTCTTTGTATACATATAGTTTCGTGAATACGTCTCATCAAAAAAAAGAAAAAGAAAAATTTCGTCGAGAATGACGTTTTACCTGCAATATTTAAATTGATATTAATATGAAAAGTATATCTATATTTTTCATAAGAATTAATATAATCTTACAAAAATTTGTAACACCGGGGTTCGGATCGATGAGAGGTCCACGAGATCTGGAACCCCCGCGGAACTGGAAGCTCCTGGGACCCGGAAAGGGGCGGCAGTGCAGTGCCCTTCGGGAGCTAGTTACGCACAAAACACCTTGCTGCCGGTCTCCCGGCAAAACGCTGACGATTGATTTTTTTTTTACCATGAGGTAAGATAGATCCGCGCCCCTGTCTGTGTAGCCAGGCTTACCAGATAAGTAAGGTGAATGGTGTTACCTACAGAAGGTATAGATTCAGTGGAATAGATAATTAGGGGAGACAAATTTTCAAAAATACTCCGTCTTGCGGCGCGGTAAAGATAAAACGCTGACTATCAGTATCCACGGGTTTAGAATGCATGCTGCACAGACCGAAAATTAAGATAGAGACAATAGTCGAAATATGAAGCCCAGGGAACATGCGGAAGCTGGCAACATCGTGACTTGGTTTTCGGGTAGTTGCGACTCTTGTGATTGATGCAGAAAGACAGAACGTAATCTCAATATAATGAATTTGATGATTTATTTCAACATATTTTAATTCCTTTATACAGTAAAATAGTATATCACTTTTTATTGTCGTTGTACCATTATTTAATTGCTGTCATCTTTAAATATAGATTCCCCTTATACACCAAGTTAATCGCCTTGGAATCGTACTCGTATGGAAGCTTAGTTTGTTTGCAGACGTCCACTTTGTAGCGTGAAAGTATTTTGAGCAGACTGAGTTTCGTTTCGAAAATGGCGACACGGCCTCCTGTTGAAAACGTATTTAAAGAATAGATTGTGTGTCAAGATTATACCTTTTGTCAAGGTCTACTTTTTTGGATGATAATTTCGAAATAGTAATATATATTAATAATATGCACTGCGGCAAAAGATGTAAATATTTTGTTGATTTTCTGATAACCACTAAGATAAGTAATATTATTGTACTACGTTGTTTTAAATTACACTTTACGAAAATTATCATTAGAGTGCAGATCTGCATGCGTTTATGGTCGTTTATGGTATATGTAAAAATTTTAGGTTCGAGGTGTGCGTATTAACAGATATCAATGGCACATTTGGTTTATTTTTATTATAAAGAATTGTCTAGACAGTGTAAACAAAATTTCATTGTCCTAATGTTTATAGCATAATTTATGAAAATGAAATTATTATATATTATAATTAAATTAGCCATTGTCCAGTAAACTAATCGCTTCAATATTTCAAAAAGCTTTAGACCACTTTTGGCACAACTATAAAAAAGTTATACACCCATTGAATGTATAAATAGATCAAAGATTTAATTTATTACTGCAGCCAAGTAACTGTTCTACTTATCCGAACGTTCATGTTTTGCTTATTTGTTCGCATAATTAAAGTTCTCCTGCAGTTGTAACATTATTAATACGTAATTTTGGGTTATTTAACTGAATCGAGCGTTTTTTTCTTAAAAGTACTGCACCAAACAGATATTTTTCCAGAAATACGGTTGCAATACACAGATACATACCAATACAATTTCTTGGCCCGCTGCCAAAGGGTATATAGTGCATAGGGTGTCGAGCTGCTACAGCTTCTTTGTTGAACCTTTCAGGATCGAATATTTCTGGATTTGGATAAATGTCAGGATCCCTATGCAGTGCATATATTGGAACCCATATTTCAGTTGATTTTGGTATTGAGAAATTCAAACCTTCGAAATCGTAATCACAAACTGATGTTCGGATTGCTACCGGCGCTATTGCATATTTCCTCAATGTTTCTGCACAAACAACAAAAATTTTATTTATATAATAAGCTTATTGACAAGTTTGTCAGCTTATGCAGTATACGTATGATGTTTATTGTTCAACAAATTTCTTCCCATGTACCGTTAATATTCTGCTAGCTGTAAAAGGAACGTAACACTCAAAACATAAGACATAAATACTCTCCTGTTTAGGAGAGTGAAAAAATGTATGGGATTCTTAATTTTTTAAAAATTATCAGTAACGTAGTAAAAAAAATTCGGAAAGTTTATGCACTGTGACTTGTTCATTGTTTCGAACGCAGCCCGAAGCCGTCGCGCCCTACGACCGAAGCCGCATCCCACTCGCTCGCTCGATCTCCTCACAGTTCGTGCACTCGCTACTCATTGGCCACTGTTTTCCGTTAATAACNTTGTCCTAATGTTTATAGCATAATTTATGAAAATGAAATTATTATATATTATAATTAAATTAGCCATTGTCCAGTAAACTAATCGCTTCAATATTTCAAAAAGCTTTAGACCACTTTTGGCACAACTATAAAAAAGTTATACACCCATTGAATGTATAAATAGATCAAAGATTTAATTTATTACTGCAGCCAAGTAACTGTTCTACTTATCCGAACGTTCATGTTTTGCTTATTTGTTCGCATAATTAAAGTTCTCCTGCAGTTGTAACATTATTAATACGTAATTTTGGGTTATTTAACTGAATCGAGCGTTTTTTTCTTAAAAGTACTGCACCAAACAGATATTTTTCCAGAAATACGGTTGCAATACACAGATACATACCAATACAATTTCTTGGCCCGCTGCCAAAGGGTATATAGTGCATAGGGTGTCGAGCTGCTACAGCTTCTTTGTTGAACCTTTCAGGATCGAATATTTCTGGATTTGGATAAATGTCAGGATCCCTATGCAGTGCATATATTGGAACCCATATTTCAGTTGATTTTGGTATTGAGAAATTCAAACCTTCGAAATCGTAATCACAAACTGATGTTCGGATTGCTACCGGCGCTATTGCATATTTCCTCAATGTTTCTGCACAAACAACAAAAATTTTATTTATATAATAAGCTTATTGACAAGTTTGTCAGCTTATGCAGTATACGTATGATGTTTATTGTTCAACAAATTTCTTCCCATGTACCGTTAATATTCTGCTAGCTGTAAAAGGAACGTAACACTCAAAACATAAGACATAAATACTCTCCTGTTTAGGAGAGTGAAAAAATGTATGGGATTCTTAATTTTTTAAAAATTATCAGTAACGTAGTAAAAAAAATTCGGAAAGTTTATGCACTGTGACTTGTTCATTGTTTCGAACGCAGCCCGAAGCCGTCGCGCCCTACGACCGAAGCCGCATCCCACTCGCTCGCTCGATCTCCTCACAGTTCGTGCACTCGCTACTCATTGGCCACTGTTTTCCGTTAATAACTCGTAAATAAAGCCGCGGATTGCATTTGCGCTGAGGAAAAAGTTACTTCGAATGATCTCAGGAAGCCTCCATGTCCGATTGCGAGACATTTTTGGGACACCCTGTATATATTATAATACACAGCTACATATGTTTGAATATATAAAAAATATTGTTGCTTCCGTTTTCGTATTTCAAGTTTACGAATGCTTTTGTCTCGCCTCCTTCTTGTTCATATTTACCTTGGAATACTTTATCCATATACACCATCTCTTTCATAGTTTCATAGGTGATTTCGCCTTTATATTTTTTTATATACTCCTTAATTTCTTGACGCAACTTCTCTTGAATGTCGTGGTTCATAGCCAACTCAAGAAGAGCCCAATTCATAGTTGATGATACTGTATCCAAACCGGCCCCAAAGAACGCGGCACATTGAGCCATAAGCATTTTGTCTGAAAATTCTGGAAACGATAATTTGATATTAGTGGCCTATCATAAACGATGTGTTGTCAGGGAATTGATAGCGCGAGGGGAATCTCTTTGCCCTCGCCTTGTCCCGTGACCTGCAATCATCGCCAAACTGAAGTTGATATAATGGAGGGAATACGTAACAGTAATAGATCGTCACGCCATCAATTCCCTGGCAACACTAGTTATAAATGAAAATTTAAATAGCACACACACACAACTGTCAAGTTTAAATTAATCCTGAACTTTTACTAGATAAAGAAGGGCAGCACTTTTAAGTAGTCTCGAACTTGTTTTTTACTTTATGAATGGATGTTACTACATTTACATAATTGGTTCATTTAAACAAAATATCTCTAATTACTAATATCGTAACATGATCAGAATATTCTGTTGAGAAATCTGTTTTCGTCTGGTTTCTGACTGAGACCAATTTATTATGTTGTTTGATTTATATTAGTCAATGGTATTAATTTGATAACGTTGTATTGTTTGGAATTTTATTATTGGAATTGGAATTTATTATTTTATTATTAATTTTATTATATTATTTATCTTATCAGTGGAATTTTCTGTTATAAAAAATATCTTTTCTCGAGCTTCGAGTCACGAACGCCACCACTGTTTCCATCTCTTCGCCAGGTGTGAATCTTCATCATCATAAAGTTTCTTCCAAGAAAATAAACTGTGGAGCGAAATTAGCACGATTATTCACGTCTGATGAAGCGGTGAAGACAATGGCGCGTTCGTGGTTCGCAAGTCAGACAAAAACATTTTTCAATGTGGGAATACGAAAGTTCGTTGATAGACGGACAACATGTATTGTAAAGATGACCAATTATGTCGGAGAATGATCATTTGTCTTTTCTTAAAGGTGATTCAAATAAATTCTATTCTATTCATCAAGTTGCGGATAATTATGAATTTATCCTCGTATTTCCATAAAATTACCCATATCGCCCGGATTTTTCGGAGAGTCCCGAAGTTCCATGAGATTTTGAATGAAGTCAGGTCTATGGATGTTGTTCTTCTTCCTGTAACTTATCGTTTCCATAACAATCTTCGTGAAGAAGGGGGCCAACGTGTTCTCAGGCCACACGTATCCAAGTAAATCGTAAAACCACGGCAGAAACACTCTCAGCTTGAATCGTAGTGTTCTCTCAAAGCTGTAGCCGGTGATAAGTTTGCTCATTCGATAGAACTCGGTGTCCTCCGGACACAAGGTGTTCGTGTCAATCCCGAATGCGCAGCTGCCGATCACGTCGGTCGCGAACTTCGTGGTCAGCCCACGAATTTCAACTATTTCATTTTTGGAAACTAGATAGTCCAGATATTTTTCTAACTTCTCAGAACATTTCAACATTAGATTGAACATGCCTTTCAATCTTCCTGTCGCGAACATTGGACTTTGCTTCGCTCTTAACAATCGCCATGTTTCCGGATCCAAATTAAATAAGTTTAGGGTAGTGGGTTCTGCCTGTGAACATTTTAGGAAAGAATTTTTGTTATTTATAAACTTGCGGTGCCGAATTGCTATTAATGTTGAACACTGTTCCAAATATGACGTTTCAATTTTATTTATTTAGTTTCATTATAAAACATGTGGTATTGGACCAATGTCACATATCATATTTGACATCATTTCATTTAATTGTAGTTATAATTACTGTACTTTGATTGAATGTTGATTAAATGACAATTCGTGACCAGCAGTCTCAGGATTAAAATGGTCTATTGCTTATGACAACATAAAGCAACAAGAATTGGTTTAACAGCGTTATCAACAACTGAGCTTTGATACACTCAGATTCACATATGCAAGTGTCCTCATCACAAGTATGTATTTGAAAGAGGAAAGGAAAACTGGAGAAAAGCTACAGTTTAGTAAAAAAAGGTGCGTATACACAATATTTTGAGGAAATTACTTCAAATTAAATTGTATTCAATCATGAAATTTAAGCTTTTTCTTGTAACTTCGTATAAGAATCTTTTTCACTAACCCTCTAGCTAAAATATTTCTATTTTTCTTTACATTCATGGAAATTTGTGAAATTTATTTACTTTGCTTTGTTGCCATACATACCCTTTCATGAGTTTTATGCGGACGATCTATGAACTTGGGAAAATCTCTTATCAGGACCGTCTTTATAAGTTCTGGATCCTGCACAACGAGAATAGGTGATCTGCAGGCGTACAGACCAACAACTGGTGCACTTCTATATTTTGCACAAGCATCCTCTACTATGTCCGCCGCGGTTACTTTTGCAAGCAGTAGATCCTTTTGAGTACCGAAAAACAGACGAGGTTCTGGTCCGGGCACGCCACGTTTTTTCCAGAAATCGTAATTCCAGATTAGGTAATAGTAGAAGGCGACAGCTAATGTTACTAAGCCGCATAAGAATTCCACGTAGGTCACCATTGTTCTGGCTGTTTAACGGCTACTGGTCGAATTCTTCGTCCTGCAAATACTACAAAAAGTTAATTCCATTACATTGGCCAATAAGCGACACTGATATTATATGTAAAACATTGTTATTGTTGATTTTAACATAATAAGCTTTTAATATAACAGATTGAGTTGTGAATCAATGTATCATAAACCTACATTTCATCGTCAGTTAAAGTACGCTTCATGAATGTAGAATTACTAGAACAGGAGACACAAGAAATTCCATTACAAATGTAAAAATTGAAACAAATTATTTGCCCGACAGCTCCTTTCATTCTAAAAATCGTAAAACACATTTTATGTCGACTGATATAAATGGCTGCAGTAACCACACTGGTTGATGGATCGCGTTCTTTTTTTACATAATGTATGTTATGATAAGTAAGTCAATCGGTGAATATCTGTATACAGGAGGTCCCAAAATTTATTCAAAATCGGGAAACGCGAGGGATTCATTAAATCATTTGAAGTAACTTTTTCCTTAGGGATAATGCAATCTGTGGCTTTTTGTATACGAATCATTAACGAAAAACAATGACCAATGAGAGGCGAGCGCGCGAACTACAACGTGGTCAAATGATCGAGTGCAACGTGTTTCGATCACATTCGAATCAACGAACAAGTCACAAAGCGTGAACTTTCTGAATATTTTCACTATGTGACAGTGCTACCTTTAACCCCTTGCTTAAAAATTTCATATAATATACGCGAGGTGTCATGCACACCAGAAAATTAAACCGGCTGTCACGGTTAAATTGACAAACCTTGACATAACCTTGACATACCCTTGACATAACCTTGACATAACCTTGACATAATCTTGACATTCTCAAATAAGAATGAATAGCGTTTTTCTTAAAATTATCACTGTCACGTAGTAAAAAAAATTGGAAGTTCACGTTCCGTGATTTGTTCATCGATTCGAACGCAGCACGGAGCTCCCCTTCATCTGTCACACTCCACGGTCGAAGCACGTTGCACTTGATTGACCAACCACGTTGTAATTCACGCCCTCGCCCCTCATTGGTCAGTGTTTTTCGTTAATAACTCGTAAACAAAGCCGCAGATTTCTTTTTCGCTAAGAAAAAAGTTACTTCAAATGACTCCATTGCTGAGGCATTTTTGATATTACAATTCCCACGAGAGTTTCTCAAACTAAAAATAATGAAAAACAAAATCTAAGAGCTTTATTTACTAGAACAAAACTTAGATCTACGCGATATCTTTACAATTAACGCGCTTACAGACTACTAGTCGAGAGTGGCATGCGCCTACAGAGCCCGATAGGGGGGGGAGGGGGCTCTGCGGCTGCGATAACAAAAGAAAAAATAATTCTTTCCGTGTAATAACAAAAATGTAACAAATAACATACATGGACTGCGCGTGTTGCCCTGTCGTCTCACTCGACAAGTTGAGGTGGTTCAGTTCCCGCGGACTTAGGCGCTTCTAAGCCTCGTATGAGAGCGGCGGCACCAGTGCCCTCGGACGTTGTTCCTAGGTTTGCACGCTAGTTGCTACGTTATCGGTTTCCTGTCGAAAATTTCCCATGTTGCGTTGCAAGCCGATGTTCAACGTCATGCAAAACGCTGAACGTTCGCGGTCTCACGCTATCGCGATAATACTTCGCGACGCATTTCGTCGTCGCAAACTTCACAATTTGATACGTTTTTCTTTTTAAGAACAGATTTTAGCCTTAAAACGCTCATTTCAGTAAAAGTAGTTTGTAGCACCGGAAATGAAAGATCTTGGGTGACAGCAGCGTGAGGCGTCCACCCGATAAATATCATAATTCTGAATTACGGTGGCGACGTGGCAGAGAGCACCTGTCTGATCGTAGTTCAGAATTTGTAATGTTCGCCCTGTAGATGCCCTTCACCGCCGTGCGGGACTTCCTGCGAATGCGTCGCCTGCCCCCACTCCTTGCATAGTGACTTTTCGTGACTGTACTGACCGTGACAACACACACTCAACGAAACAAAAAAGAATCTCTTCTAAAAATCTAACATCTCAAAAAGATTCAAATCTTTTAAAAAACTTTTCGCGATTCATAAGGTGTCCGAATATTAGCGGTATCCACTGTATAAGATTCTGTATTGTAATTTATTGCAACATGCACGTGTAGAGCATTGATAAAGTAAAATTATAGTACTAAAATGAGATTATTATGCTACACCAATATCAGTATCTAAAATAACAATTCATATGCATGAAGGCCGCGTTAATGTTGCTTAGCAATACAATGTAATCAGTTCTAATTGAGTCGTTCGAATATTGAATTGTATTAAGGTTATCAATTCAAATGAAACTTTAAATAAACACAGTATACATATAATGTTATCACTTCATTTTGAACTTAACAATTTAGCTGCGTCAATATTTTTTTAAGATCAATTTTGTATGCGTTTTATCGATCACACAGGGTGCAGTTCCTTCCGGCAAGTTGTTCTAAAATTATTCTAAACGGTGCGAAATTTATGAATATGTTTCACAAGCATTTTAACATAAATCGTAGATGTATTTTTGTTGTAAGATGTAAAACTGCCATTTCCTTATTTCCTGCACACAACTAAGATATTAAATGTTAACTAAATTATCAATCAAGGGTCCAGTTTTTGCATTCGTGTTAATTTGTAATTTTCGATACTACCAAACCTTTCCCCGTTACAAAATAGACGATAATTTCATAAGATAATGTCTGGAGAATATATATATGGTGTACTTATTAAAATTTTTTGGGAACGTTTTAAGGACACATGTATTAACAAAAATACGTTATATATTTTATAATATCTTCTTTAATTTGATCATTTCCGTGACACAATTCATTAGTTATTCGTTCCAAAATACAATATGCCGGAAAAAAGATAGCACACTCTAAAATTAACATAATTATTATTTATTTAATCTTACAACCAAGGTTCTATACAAGCAAGGTTCTTGCAACAAATGTTCCTGTACAAATATGCAAAATACCACTATAAATATACGTAGAATTAAATAGAATTGCATTTTGCCAGTTTAAACAATTTTATTTGGAAAAAAAGAATTTTTATGGAAATACACTGGGACAAAATGATCATCTGGCAAAGATTTATAGAGTTTTATTAATAGTTTCTTGTTCTAATTGCTCCCACTCATCTTGCATACATTTATTTTATTCAACAATGTCTTGAAATTGTCTGCCAACTGAATATATAGCTCGGTTGACTTTTTCGCAACAATTTTCAACGATATGACCTTACGGATCAATTCAAAACGCGATTTTTAATGTTCTGTTTTTACTATTTGCATTTTGGATTCTATGGAGTTTAACTTATTAGCAGCACCTCCAAGCTTTAAATTAAATTAAATAGTACATTTTTTTCGAAAATAGTTATGTTCACCACCATACAGACTAACAAAAGTAACATAATAGTGTACATATTACATCGAAGTCTGTAGTTAGCTGAGATGTTTGTCAAAAAAGTGCCTCCAAATTTCACTTTAAAGTTGATGCCTCCTGGTTCATCGTCACTCATTCAAAATGATGAATGGCGTCGGCGGCATTGGTTTACCGGATGCGGATGCATAGCCATATTGAATTTGGATTCCCATAGTATTCTGTTTTCCCTATATCGAACTCTGGACAAATTCATTTATCTATATGGCTGATTTAAATTTAATTTGGGACTTTCCAAATCCCTCTGCCATTATCTTTTATCTCTTCGAAATGATATATTGGACAGATTTTTCCGACTAAAATGACACCAAACACGACATGCTTTAGACTATACTTATTCATTATACGTAGCAAGTAACTTATTTTATTTGCGAAAGAAGAATTGGAAAACCGATTCTTAACATATGGAATATTAAAAACTACGTCAAAGAAGGTATGTATGTGTTCGAAAGAAAATAACAATAAAGTTATGCTATTCGAGTCTTCGTTCGATGACAGTAGAACAAGGCATGGCTGAGTTAAATGACGGTAAGAAAAAACATGGCGCGGTTAGACGACAGTAGGAAAACACGATTCAAAACCGAACACGATTCGAATCATTCGAATAATTTTGGAGCGTCTTTTCGATCCGCTGACTCAGAGGTCAAATGAAGATTAGGTTATCAATAATGAATTTTAAATCGAAATACAAATTCTATTTCTTTTTATTACAGAGTTGGGCATATTTTATTCGAAGAACTTATTCTAAGTACCATTCGAATAAATTTCATTCGAAGAATCCACTCGAAATATTAATCGAAGAATTTATTCGATATATAATTCGAATCGAGAATTCCTGCAACAGCTGCGTCTTCCTCGTATTTCCTCCGAATGCCGTCAAGGATCACACTTTCCCGTATCGGCAGAAGGTCAATAACCTGGTAGAACGCATTACCAGTGTCATTGATATCCCAGACACTCAGCATCAACATTTCGGTGAACTGTTCCATCTCCTGGAGCTTCTCATTGGAGATAGCGCACCCAAACGTCAATACTTGCGGCGGCTTGTGTCCATCGAAATTGAACGCGCATATCGGTTTCAGATCCAAATGTTTCCTCGCCAACGGCTCCTCGGTGTTGTACTTGTTATTGGCGACGAACATGCGGAAGCTGGTGGTGGAATGCACCGAGGTGAAAGTCCAGGTGTAGTTAAAATAGACGTGGGTCTTGTTCCACCTGGCCAGTGTTGGAAAATCGACGCTGACCCACCGATCTTTACCGTACTGGTTCAGTTCAGGGAATTGACTGTTGGCACCGCTAGCAATCTTGCCGTCCGGAGGGCTGTTAGGCGAATCCGGGAATCCTTTATGTCCCTCGACACTTTGCGGCTCGTATTGTATCGCGCCGCAGTGTTTGTTCACCCGTCTCTTACACAATAGCGCCCTGCTCTCTGGGAACGACACGTATCCGTGATAAAAGCTCTCCTTAGTTGATCTACTCATAGTGTCGGGATTTGGTTCGGAGATGGCTGCCGAATGTTGATCGACATTCAAGACGCCTCCCGCGGATACGACCATCATGGCGGAGCAGACGATCTGAGGAAAAATTTGTCTAAGTTGCGACGTTGCCTTCGTTTTGACCGGCGATCAAGCCGGAAAATGAGGGCAGCTCCGCAGATTTTATAGGCCCTTAGACTGGGTCGATAATGCGCGATAATTGGGAATTTGATGCTAAATTCGATCTCCGAATACGCATCCTGACTTACGATCGATTGAAAGAGCCGTGACAAGAACAAGGGTTTGGTAGTAGTACGGCTCTCACGGCAGAGCGGATCTCGCAGGAGATATAATTGATTCGAATATAGGCTCTAGATTTAATCAGCGTGATTCGTTATAAACCGGGGGTCACGTGGCCATAGCCACGCTACGATAGCCCACGCTCCTCATACAATTTCTGCAATGGATGTTCGTTCGCGGCGCAAGTTGTCCAGAATTTATTCGGCGCGATAATACGGATGTTTGATACAGAATTTCTTGGTCGAAAGACGAGAGATTGCCGCCGCCCACGCGCGGCGGGTCGGACGCGCTACGCGTCCGAAATCGCGACCTCGGCGAAGGGCGAGAAGCGCCTCGACGCGGGAGAAAGTCGCACTAATCTCTCCGAGTCACCTCGCACAGAAGAAAACCACGAAAAGTCATCAAGAGCGACTCACCATTACTCCTATAGTTGTACGCCTCATTCTATCTCTCTCCAAAGGGCACTTCGTACAATATAATTTCCTGGAACGTTGCAAAATGTTTTTCGCAATTTTAAGCGTTGTAACGCGACTCTAGTTTGCTCGGCAGTGATTCCTCGCGGTTTTCGGCAACGATCGCACTGTCCTTTCATATCCCTACCACAGACTTAGTATCTGTATAGACGTTGCATTTTATGAGCTTTTCAGTCTCAGCTTTGGGGGCTCTAGAGCTCCTGTACCATTTCATATCATACTCAGTGTTACCGATAGCCGATGGTTCAGGAAAAACAGGCACGTTAGCGAAAAACGAATGTCCTGTATATTTAATTTCTACTACGAGTGCTGTATATTATTTAGAGGCAATAAACGTATACGGCACTAACATTTAAATGGTGGAAATGGTATTTATGAACTACGTTTACACTTACATTGACACTATTTACGAATTATGTATTACAGAAATACGATATAGAGTGTTTTATGGATAGTAGTGCAATTATTTCTACTAATTGTATAATTTGTGATGGTAGATATATAGCAATAGTTTTACACATTTTTTGTTACAAATATTGTGAACTGTAGTATTATTTATTATTTATTATAGAACATAGAGAGGGTGTTCATTTTTAAATTTTAGATCAAAATATCTCTAAAATAAACGTCTTTCGATAAAATGCCAAATCTAATTTACACGATTTTTAGTAGATATACATATGTACAAATAGCTACATATACATACATGTACGGGAACACATTAACAATTACGACATCCCAATTGTTTATGGTTTTCTTAATATTTTCGCACCAAGAAATAGTACCTCCGTATTAAAACGAGATGTTTATTGCATAATGCTGGTTATAAGAAGTTATGTAGGTGTGAGAAAATTTGTTAACATTATTTATAAATTACAAATATTTACATCCGTATTCATGTTCTATGAAACTCTTGTACTAATATATAAATATACATATATGAAAATTGTAATTAAAAGATATTTGAATTAAAAATTAAAAAAATTAAAAATGGATTTTTGAACACGTCAACGAATAATCAAATAATTGTTTAATAAAAGTATTATATACTTTTATTAAATATATATAAATGTAAATATATATAAATATATATATTTATATATATCATATTTATATCATATTTATATCATATATATATTAAAATATATATAAATATAAGTGTTGTTGCTTAGAGTATGTTTGTAGATTACTTAGGATCCCAAGTCTGTACTGTCGCCGCAAGCAGCGAAGAAAAACCGCATCTATAATTTTATAAACAGTTTTATAAACTACATCTATAGTTTTTGTAGGGATATAATGCGGTAATAACGTACTTTTAAAAGCTGGCAACGCTTTAAATGTAGCCACCTCAGACACACTCTTCTCTGTTCCAGTCAGACGTAGTTCATTAGCTGACCGTTCCATTTAGGTAGAGTCCGCTACCGTACCACAGCATTTTCTACAAAGTCGGTAACTCGGACTCTGAAATAAAGAAAAGCATTATATGCAATGTCTGTATGGATCCTGTCTTTATTTAGGACACAGCCTAGGATTCGTACAAACATTGCATGTTATGGGCTTTACTGTCTCACCTTTTTTTAGGGCTCTAGAGCCTCCTTAATATTTCGTGTCGCGCTCAGCGTTACCGACAGTTCACATATCATAGACACGTTAGCAAGAAGTGAATATCCAGAATACATATTTCACTTCTACTACGTGTGCTGAATATTATTAAGAGGCAACGAGTGTATACTGCGCGAACATTTAAATGGAGGAAATAGTATTTATAAAACATCTACTACGGAAATATGATATAAAGTGTAATTATTTTTATGGAAAGTTGAACAATTATTTCTACTAATTATACAGGGTGTTCTCAGCCTTAGCTCAATAGAACTGTTGCGCTCGAATCACTAATTGCTGGACCGTCTCTGGGTGAGACTGAGATGAGACAAGAAGGCGAGTCTCAGACCGCATTTCCTTCCCTGTCGCTCCTGGCGACAGAGGATCCCATACAATGTCCTCGGGCGGTCATCTTGTCACCCACGCCTGCCGAAACCCTTTTTCTGGCGGGAAGAGACGACACAGGAACTCATTAGAGACGTCTGTTCCTTTTCGATAATTGGATGTCCGTTGTGAACTGGGTTTCTTGAGTTCTTGCTCGGGTTGTTTGGCCCGTGTGGCGTGGTCATCCCTCGATAGATCCGTGCGCAGGGGATTTGTTCTGGCGTCTGGTGTCTAGAGAGGTCTCACGTGAACAGCCCTGGGTGTCTTCTTATATTGTAATGGAGTGATACATCTAACCCGAGAAAGATAACCTACGTCGCAGAGGCGCCTGCGAAGACTGTTGATTTTTGTTAATTTTTCATAGAGGTCTAGTGATTTAAGTTTAAAATTACTTAAAATATAAAAAAATATAATATAAATGCATTTTATTTTTACAATAATGCCAAACCTTTAAAATGACTAGATTAACTTAAATAAATATCCATTGTTAGTATAAAATTGACGCCTTAGAAAAGCATGCGCCTCTGAAGCGTATGGTTATCTTTTACGTACGTTGTCATATGGTTATCTTTCTAGGGTTAAATAAAGTTATAACATATACACCGTAAGAAAATATCCAGTGACCCTTACAACACGGACTTTTGTGACGATTTTATAGCAGCTATTTTCTTTGATATATTTTACAATTTATTTCTCAACATCCAAGGGTTAATCGTCATTAAATGTCAAACGCAGAGACTAATACCTAATTTATACAAAACGTTTTCTAAAACATGTTTAATATAAAACATATTAATTGGTGAATGCAACTGGAATAAATTATTAGATACGTAAAAGAAGACGACTGTTATTAAATCGTCAAAAGATTCTGTCATCTAAGCGTCTGAGATATTATGTTGTAAATTCATTCAAATGGTGAAAATTGGTGAAAAATATGCTTTACTTGATTATGTAATGTAGCTTTTTTTACACGCGACTACGTCTTCGCACGAATGTTCCGAACGCAAGGGCATTCAAATTATAATACATTATATATGTATGTATGTACATTCCGTATGAACTTATAAATCTAGTACACAAATAAATTAAGAGATGTCGCGATTATGATAGAAACTAATGTTCTGACAACTTACAATATACAATTGACAATGATTACAATATACAAAATTGTAAGAGGCAAAATCAAAGGGGGCAGATACGTAACGAACTTTATTCGTTGACGACGGTTAGCCCACATTTCATATGTGTTCCATTTGAAACAATAACGTCCTTGTCACGGGCAAGGTATATACATAGTTCGTTACTTTTAGGCGAGCATACGAGGTCAACGTACATATTTTGACTACAGTCAGAATTGGACATATTTTGTTCAAATAAATTCTTTGAATAAAATTTTATTCGAATAACATCTTGAACGAATACTTTGAATAAAATTTTACTGGAATAACATCTCGAATAAATAATTCGTATATTTTATTCGAATAACATGTCGAATAACTTATTCGAATAATCTTTGAAGAAGAAGTATTAATGAAATATATTTAAAGGAAGAAAATTACCAATGTTACGGAAAATATAACAAAATTTTCTCGTGTGTATAAGGTAAATATTGTAATTTCATTTTTAAGCAGCTGTTAGAGATCTCTCAAACATTT